AGGAACCAGAGACGATGGGTGAGTTCATCATGGCGACGTAGGAAGTAGAGTTGAGAGTCACGATAGGCAGGATCTAGGCCCGCAATACCCGAGTGCAAATGCACAGGTCCGAAACCCAGCGAGCCCGCTTCTAACCAAGGCAACTTTGTCCTAGGACAGCCCGGTGGAAAGTTTTTCTGCTGACTAGCCCGGAATGGACTCGTACGGTTGGATTCCGATTGGTCTAGGGAACAAAGGTGGGCAACATGCAAAGTCGGTCTTAAGTGCTAGAAAACTGTAGACTGTGCTTATGGCTTAAATTGGAACATTATTGGAGGGTCTGCTGCGTTAGAATTAAGTCTACTGCTATCCTTCTTTGGCGGATGGTGAAAATGATAAGACATCTGGACATCAAATTTTCATGCATATAACTTAAGTAGTGTGCAGTTTCCCGAAGAGTTCGATGTTTCTACAAAGGCGAATACGTTTCATACAAAACAAAATATTCTTTTCTTGTACGCATTGACAGCAAACCACGCCTTTGTCAAACTATATTCTGAAAGAAAGGGTATATTTGGATTTAAAAAAAACCAATTCCCGAATAATTTGAGCCCGATTTGCGGATGTACTTGCATTTAGCGTTTTCAGTCTGCCAGCTGCACATGGTCTCTGTCAACAGTAGCATATATCCGTCTATGTCATCAAGTAGATAACATATTCTGTTTATAAAGTTCCGCAGTAGATGTGGAATATATATAGCATATTGCATGAGGACGGGACGGGAACCGTCCGCGATGCAAATGTCCCTATGCCAAAGTTCAGATAAAATAGGGTTAAGGTTAGTGTCAACTTGGGATTGAAGTTTCGGTGAAGGTTAAGGTTGGGGGTAGCATGCTCTATCCTGGAATTATGGGCAGGGCCACTTTTATGACGTGAATGGAGAGTTCCCATTCTCCTGTAGTCCATCGACCTTCGAAGCTCTTATGAATTAAAACATATTTTACAGAAAATGTATGAAAGATATCCTTTTTGTACACTGTTCATAGAATATCACGTCGTCGACATCAAATTTTATTCAAAAAGAAAGAGTATGCTTTGTTTTAGTTAACCCAATTGTGAAAAACTCGAAGCGTGCGGCGGGATTTGAACCTGTACAGTAGAGAAGGCCTTTACCGGAAGCCAACCCTCTAACCACTCGAGTTACAAACGCCCCACATCGCGCCTTGAATTTTATTACAATTGGGTCGGTTTTACCTGCCAAAATTTGCCGCTTGTATGGAATCCACCAATACGGAACAGCAAGCTGACTGCCCAAGAAGAATTTCCTAAGCAATCATCTAGAATCCACCAGAATGACTCCTAGGCTGACTTAATTATTAGGTTTGGTAGATTTGCGTAATTTGAGCTGACCCAATTGTGAAAACACTCGAGGCGCTCGGCGTTCACAATTAGGTCAACTCATATCAAGCAAATCTGCCAAACCTCTAATAATAGTATGTTCGGGCATCTAAAACCTATATAAAAAGGCACATTATTAAAGTAGCTATTTTTACCGATTGAGTTTTTTTTATTCAGGTGATAGAGCTAATAAATATCACTAATTCCACTCAAGTATCAAATCCTAATCTAAAGCGCCTTTTAAAAGTTGGTTAACACTGCATGACTATAGATTACATTGCTTTTCGCAAACCACGTTGTTGGGGACAAAACGTACCTGAGACAAAGATTAGAAAGTAAGTAATCAGGCTGTTTTTTTCACGATGTCCTTGAGGTCGTCTGGGTAAAACAAAAAAACACAAAGTACGCACCAACAGGCCTGACCAATTGCAGAAACTGAACTCGCGGAAGAAAGACGGATATTGCATCGCGAGAATGAACGTCATGCAGATTACATCGGGCCACTCGCACTGCATCCAGCATGATCACCAAACAAGTACCAGCCTCAAGTACTGCCAGTTCAACGCCGTCTAAGTTGAACCGCAGCATGCGGTATTTCAGGACCAATTCAGTAGGACAGGTCTCTGCGCCAGGTGGTTTGGCAATCCAAACGGGACACTCTTCCTAAAATAGCATAGTCTATGTTTACTACTTTAACACATTTCAGTACACAGTATATCATAACAAACAGTGACGAGGAATTATGACGTACAGGTTGGTAAGCGTGCTGGCAGAGTTCGCCGCTGTTTCGGGGTAGGATGGCGTTCTCAGGATCAAGAGCGGAGAAGACAAAGTTCGACACGCAGTGAACTAGGGAGGAAACTTGCGGCGTGGTGATCTGACCGCTTATTGTTCCACAAGTAACCTCTAACAGCCAGGCGTATTCGGCTGTGTCGGCCTTAAGGGGGAGACCGCGGTTGCTGAACATGGCATGCCCACGGAGTTCAAAGCCAGTCAACTGCAATCGTCCACTGTTCAGCAACCCCGAACCAGATGGCCTGAAAGGCTGATATAAAAAATGCGGCCAAATAGGAGTGCTTACAACCACCAACATCAATTACGGTAAGTCGAGTCCAGTAACAAACTAACATCTCAAACATGCTAGACATGTAAGTCTAGAACAGACAAATGGAGTGGTTATATCGTGAAAGTTGCGAAGGAAAAATCACCTATATATGGTAGACAAACTTACTTTGCAACGGTCAAAAACACACAACAGAATGGGAGAGAACAGTAGTTGCAGCTTCGTTTCAAAGAAGTTTTTGTCCAGTTCAAAGCCGATGCAGTCAATAAATGCAGTAGGGCAGGGTGGTCCACCGGGATTTGAGTGCTGTTAAAATAAAAACAAAAACATGACGGTAGATGAATGAGAAAAAGCGTCTGGATAATAAAGAACCTCATGCCCTCCTCCCAAGCCCACGCATCAGCGGCCTGTCAAGGTCAAGTCAACTGAGAATGACTCATCTGATGTGTAGTCCCCATTCATTATGTGTCGCACCGCTTGGGATGCCACAGAAGTAAGAGATGGCGTAAACGCAACTTTAACCAGGAACTATCGCAGTTCAACCCGCGTTCAAAAGACAGACTTGGTTCTCATCAATTGCCATAAACGCGTATTACCTTATTCCGGGCCTACCTAACCCTAACACTAGGCTGCATTTCACGCCTCCTATCCATCCCAACCTAAGCCTTATCCTGACTCGCATCCTAGCCTTGAGCCTATCTTTTGTGTTAGTTAGGGCGACCATTTGTTGCTGAGTTAGTAGAGTCCCACAAGCATTCGTTGCCCACTTTTCAGTTGACAGGAGTTTGTTTGCCTCCCCCTTGCATTGAAAGTCATATGTAGATGTCCCAAGGATATTCGTTACAGCGTACTCCTGGCAATAAGAATTGACAATATGGACGGTGAGATAGCGGAAGGGTCCTGTGTGCAACTTACATGGGCGACAACCTAGGTCGCGACAAGCAAGCTTGACTCAGGCGAAGGTTTTCGCAGTCCTCCCTATTTGGTCTTACACGAGCTGCAAAGTTCACGTCAGCGATCACATCTACCGCACCTTGGGACCATAGTCTACTCGGCCCCTAAACGTTCTGCCTCGTTTCGACCTCCAATAGACTGTGTCGTAGCCCTTGTTGGACCAAGAGTTCCCGCCGGAGTCCAAACTGGTTATAGTACTTGGGAGACGGAGAAAAGCCGAGACCTCGACCGGCTTGAGCCAAAGGTTTGCGTGGGTGAGTTGGGTGCCTGGCCGAGAACTGCAGGCGAAAAGATGCTGACAGTCATGCGGAGAAACGCTGCAGT